TCCATCGAGATTTCCCACCTGCTGTCTCTTCTTGTTTCTATTCCAGCCTCCATGCCTACCGGCTTTCCTGGGCTCTTCTAAAAGTTGTCAGTAAGTTAAATTTACTGGCAGATTCCCTTAGGACCTTTTAATCCATAGTGCATGATATTTAATATTCAGATCCATTATCCCATTTTGCCAGTTGGTGGACATCAAGTTTTCTTGGTTGTGTTATTTAGCAGTATAAGTTAGATTGCACCCTATTTGTGTATAGTGTAACTCATTTTGAAGACATCTTGATTTCTTCTTAAATTCAAAAATTTATGAACACTTCACCTCCTGATTTTCTTTTCTCTGAAAGAAACTCTCTGAATTTCTCAAATTTATTTTTTTAAAAAATCTCTTTAGGCTGTCTCACTGAGGAGTTTTGGAAGCCCTGGGTAATTGAGGTCTTGCTAGTGACGCATCTGCACCCCAGCCTGCATCCATGGAGCAATCCCCTCCCTCTCCTGGCTCTCGACTTGGGAACAGGGAAACTGTGTCAGTGCTATGGGGCATCTGAGCTCAATAGTCCTCTGGGGAAGCAAGATTTGGTCCTGAAGCCATACAGGGGCCAGATCCGCTCTCCTCCCCTCTCCTTCCCACTGAGCTCAGGATCTGGCCATGCCCCCTACCAGCGTTTGTTTTTCTTTTTTGAGGAGTATGTTATGTTGTCCCTCCCTTCAGGAACCTCCAGTGTTCATCTTTCCCCTGAACTGGAATTGTAGCTCTTCCTCTGTGTGTCCAGGTGGCTGTTTCTCTTAGTTCATGAATTAGCTTCCCTGAAATCAAATAGCCTCATTTCCATGGAAGAGGGCTCACAGATACAATAGCAGGTAAAAAACATGGCTTGAAGCAGGAGGGCGGGCTATTTGCAAAATCCCTCAGTATTGGCCTGTTGTCTTAAAAAGTGGAATTTGTAGAAAATTAATTCGTTATATGCAAAGGCAATGTTAATATAATGTTAAGATTATTCTGCAAGATGTACCTCTGAAATACACAGGAGGACAGCTAGCATGACAGGACGTATAAATCAGCATTATCTTGGGTTTTGCATATATGGCCTAAAGCTGTATTACTGTGGGTGATTTGCTGTGCATGGAGTTCAAAGCATTCAGGCTTGGTTCAACCCAGCCACAGCAGCGGGACCTGGTGTCACATTAAAGAGCTTATGGATTAATAAATATGTGGAGGGTGTCTGAAAAAGTTGGATCACATATCCCTCCCGAGGTTTGTCCCTCTGTGTTAATTCTAAGTTAAGTAATTTCTGTCTCTGTACAGTTCCCAAATGGCTGAAAAAGCTGAGGGGATTAATTTTTACCATTATTTCTGCTCCAGGTTATTAGTTCAGAAGCCAAGATGTCCAGTTTCGGATCCAAAGTGCTGTCCCCTCAGTGCACTGCCTGAGTTACAGGTACATGAACTTAACAGTGAGGTATCTCATCGCTGCTGATGCCAGTAGAGCATGACCTGTCTGGACAGGGAATGGCCAGGGTGCCTCCTCCATGTCAATCTGGACGAGGAAAGCCTTTTGGGAAGGGCTGTTCATGGCCCACAGATGTGGGTCGGTGTCACTGTGTGGTTTGTGGTGCTCAACAGCACCTGCTCGATCCCTCTGGAAGGAGGGGGCATTTCCCACCCCACTCCTACTGATTTGCACAGCTGACTTTGATCAGGCTTCAAGGTGAGGAGCATCCTGAGGGGGGAGTGTTACCACAGTCCCATGCCATGTGCCCAACACATCCTGCCCTGGGACATACTGGCACGGTGTGGCGAGGATGGCTTTGGAGTAAGGGACTGTGCTGGGGTGTGGGTGCAGGCAAGGCTGGTGCTGCCTGTGAGCTCTGCTACCCTTCCTGCTGTGGTCCAGCACCTGCCTCAGCCAGCTGAGGTGACAGGCAAACATACTGGTGAGACTGCTGCTCTGTATTCCCTGATAATGAGGATCTGCTGTAAAGGGTAGGGAAGAAATGCTCATAAAGGTACAAATTCATTTTAACTAAGCAACATGACATTTTAGAGGACTGAATGTCCCTTCTTTTCTGATTTTTTTTTTAAAGCCTTCATTGCAGTTTATGCAAAGAGTAAGAAAATCATAGTAGAAAGAGGAACTTATAGCTTCCATGAAGTACAGTGTTTCTGTAGATTGTCCAAACTATTCCAGGTTACTTATTGCATACCTCTCACTATTTAAATTCTGCTATATTATCTGTCCACTCTTGGTGTTTCTGTATCGATATTTAAATTATCAAATTAATTTCATTCCATGGTAAGCTAATGAAATGACAGAAAACCCCTCACCTGAATGGTGCAAAGCACACCCATGTATTCTGGATTTGGACACGAGCTGTGGATGAATCAGGCCATACAGCAGATAGTCACTGCTAAGTTGTTGAGTACAAAGATGCAGTGTGTGACTCACTCGCTGTGTCTCTACTACCATTATAAACTCTGAGAGCACTTGATGAATAACAGGGAGTCAAGAATGAATTCATCCATGTTTCACTCTAACCATCTATTATAAATACTGAGCCAAATTCTGCCTCCAGATACACACAGTTCCCATTGAAGTCTGCCCACTGTATTTATTTTTAAAGATAAAAGCACTTCTGTTACTTTCACAGGGGACTTCTGTGGCACAGTCCATTGTGAGGATGTGAATATCCTTCCTCAAGAGCTTCAAGTCAATCAGGGAGTGTCTGCCTGGAACCAGGAAGGGTACTTCAGGGATAATAGCCTCCAAACTGTGGTGGTGGGATATAACCGTTACATTTGCCCCAGTGATTTTCAGAACAACATTCCCCACACTTGGCTCTTGCATAATGCTCCCTGTCCCTGCTGCAGCTCTGGGCTCCTCTCATGGGTGACCCAGGGACAGAACTGCTGAAGCTGATGGGCAGGTTTATCCTGCTCCTGGGGCTTGCTGTCAATCACACTTGGGTTGGTGAGGGAAGCTTTGAGTTAGGGCTTGGGTTTTTTGTTTGTTTGGGTTTTGGGTTTTTTTGTGTGTTTGTTTTTTTTTTTTTCCCCTGAGCTTCCTCAAGGGACATAAATGAGAATGTCTCATTTTTTTTCCCAGAACAGGCTCTGTTCTGTCCTCAGATCCCAGATGTTGGTGGCTTTGGATGTGTGCTACTCATTCCTAGTCAAAGGGAGACATTTGTCCCATGGCCTCATGTTTTGGGAAGGCTCTGATCAGCAAATATTCTCTAGTGTCATGTAGTAAACAGACCTAGATGCAGAGGGTACGTAGGAGAGGGTATTTGCTCAGCTCAGACTCTGTCCTTCATAATAACACCATCAGCTTTCCTGGTATGATGTTAGATGGCTGCTTTAAGGCTCTGGCTGTACATGCGGAATATCTCACTGATGAATGTCCCATTGGGATAAAGGATGTGGGGAAGGCAAAGGGGTGTGGAGCATGTTTACTCTTTCTGTGATTGATTGAGCCATGTCTCCTTGCTTTGTGATACTGCTTGGCCCACTGTTTTCATTACAGCTCAGAGCAAGTTTCACCTGCTTCTGCAGTCCTAATGCAGGTAGTTATTCCCAGGGAATGGGGCTGGGCCAGGGTGAGAGCAGGCAAAGCTATGCTTCCCGAAACAATATGATCTCACCAGGAGGCAAAAGAATTTAGTCCTTTTTGGTATGGAACTACAGTTTGAGTCGCATATTGTGAATGACATCTAATTTTTGTGATTCACCGTGTTTTGTTTTGGGGTTTTTTTAAAGTTAAAGTAGCTTTGGAAGCCATTATTATTAAATAACAATACCTGATCAGAAAGGTTTGAGTTATCACTTGTGAATGATTCTCTGGCAAATAACAATAGCTTTTTCTTATGTTCAGAGGTTTTCTGCAAACTGACCCGACTTTGTGGATAAATGTCTGCAGAATATGTGCAGTATCCAGTTTGTACCTTCTTTTCTAGACTGCTCAGCCTCTGCGATAACGTGGCTGGTTGACTGCGTTCAGCTGATTTCTTTTATGTGTTTTTCTTCTCCCAGGAAAAAGAGAGGTAGCAAGTGCTTTTGGAAAAGGCATGCTGGTTTTCACTTTGAAGTAGCTAGCTCAGGGCAAGCCTTCCTGTCCTCCGCAGAGGTTATCTTATCATCAAAACACAGATGGATTTATTGCCTTACTAGGTTTGCATATTGAGGAGCTATTGCTACGTTTATCTGCGAGGAGTATCCAAAGCCTGTCGCTTGTGCAGTGACTTCTTTTCCTGGCTTGGATAAATGAGAGCTAATGAACAGGAATGAAATATATGTGAAGCAGCAAATAATGATTAGTTTTGTTTGTGTATAAATACTGATAGTCATAAGAGAATGCAAATGCTTATGTGAGAAAAAACCGTTCCCCACAAAAAGGGAGTGAGTGTGAATGTTCACAAAACAGCAAGTAAGAGGGGATGTAAACAGGGTCAATCAGCACATATATTCAGGAACCCAGTGCATGTTCTCAACGTGGCTTCTGTCCTGGGAAGTGGCAGATTGCTCGTGCTGCAGAGGACACGTTGCCTTGTCCTTCTGTGCTTGACGAGCACCCGCCCTCTGCAACTGCAACACCAGCTTCACTTCTTTTAGCAGTTGCAGTGTTCTTCCCTTCATTGCCCCAGGAAGGTATCGTTGCACTGTGATGACAGATTCACTTCTTGTTAAGTGGGTCGACGTTTGACTGTAATTAATGAGTTCAGACCAGATTAACGACAGCCCTTGAGAAACTGGGGCTAATAATTGCAAGGCATACGAGAGTCAGGGTGGACTTGATCCATAATTTTTACTGCTGGTGGTTTCTTTTGGGCTTAAATTATTTCACTATTGACTTGGACAAACACACAGAGTCACTTCTGCATTTAAACTCTCCCTTATCTGCAGGACACGAATTTACCAGGAGCACTGCTAGTAACATGACTGTGTTGCACCTGGTCCCTGCCTGCTGGTCACCCCCCTGGAGCTGATCTCTCCTGCTCATGTCATTACAGGCCAAGCGGTGAAGGCAAGGAACCATGGCAGAGGATAGGAAGGACGAAGCCAAGGCACCGCACTGGACTTCAGGTCAGCTAACAGAGGCTTCTTCACACCCACATTCACCTGAAATTAAGGATCAGGGTGGTTCAGGTGCTGGACTGGTCAGAAGTGCCAATGGATTTCCCTATCGAGAGGATGAGGAGCTGAGACTGGGCGGCCACGAGCAGCTGGGGACGTATGCTCAGACCAAAGAGAACGGGATCAACGGGGAGCTGTCGGCAGGGGACAGGGAGACCGCAGGTAATGCACCTTGATGCCCTGCTGCAGAACACGGGGCTCTGCACACCACAGGATATTTCTCCAGAGGGAAACATTAGGTGGAGCCAAGTGTGTGCAGAGGCTTGGGGGAGTTGGCATGAGGGAGCATGTGCTTTGGAAGGGCACTAGCTCTTCACAGTAAGGGCTGCATCTTCACCTAGGCTTGCACAGCTTGTATCCTTACCCAGGATCCTGGGCAGGACTCTGAGAAGGCTTCAGGAAAGGCATAACAGTGCCTTTGTCCATCTTGGTCAATGGGACAGGATCGTCTCTCTAGGGATGAGAGAACAGACTGGTGTAGACCAGCTGCTCAGCTCCTCTGGGCTAGGAGGGAGTAGGAGACTGCCCAGCTGTCGTGTATTTGTGAGTGCATGAAGGATGGATTCTGGTACTGCTCACAAGTAACACCACCTTCTTGAAACCACATACTATTTGCAGAATAATGCATTGCTCAGTCTCACCGGGAGCACCACAATTCAGCGTCAGCATTTATTCATCCTTGCCTAGTCATGTCTCACTAGATTCTCACTGGGACTTTGTCTATTTGTAAGCTATTTGAGTTTTTTGGGATGCAGCTTGTTATTTGCAGAAATAAAAGACAAGTGTGACTGTGTCAAAATGAAATATGCAAAGCAAGTTTCCTGTTTTAGAAGTAAATACTAATTCTCTCCGTGCAGAGTTCCCACTTTAAACCCCAAATGCACAGTGAAAGAATTTCTCTTGTACAGACACAACTGCCCTTGATGCATCCATTCATGCATGCTAAAGAGATCTTTCTAGCAGTGTTTTTTAGCTGTTGACAGCATTTGGTGATGCTATGCATAATTTCTCAGCAGCTGAAGAATTTTAAGGCTCTTGGACCCTATAGTCATTTCATAAGCAACTGTGCTGGAAGTGGAGATCTCTGTTAAAAGTCGATGAGTTTAGATTTAAAATCTTTTCTTGTGGATAGCCAAAATTTGAAAGCCAAAGGTAGAAGAAATCCTGTGTGAGGTTTCAGGTGAACATACTGTTGATGACTGGGGATAATAACAAGGCCTTGTCTATGTGCTGTAACCCAACTTTATGCTCAGCAAATAAGCAAGAGAGGTAAGATGCTGCAATTCTTAGGGGTTGATGTGAGCCAGGGGAGGATCGAGTGCATTTATCATCTTTGCCACGAATTTTTCACACAATATGGACAAATCCCCTCATACATGCACAGAAGTGGGAATAGCTTTACAAGATGAAGAGAAATTTCCTATCCATAGAAAGGGAGGAGAGGAATGCTCTTCTCAGGCTCTCTCAAGCTCAGGTTCTGAGTGATGCTCAGAGAGAGATCTGAGCATTTAATGAAGTTTGCAGCTAACAGGTGAGAGGAGGCAGGAAGCCACTACTGGCCATCAGTGGGCATTATAGTAGTGTATTTTCACATTGCTTTTTGAGGCAAGTGGTTAAACAGCAGAACAAGACAAAATGAGGCAGTATGAGGTCTAGGGCAGGCAGCAGGACTGGGGACACACACTTGCCAAGGGAACAAGATTACTCTTGATCTGGGTAAAATTTGCTTCAGCCACCACTTTGTGGCCTCATTTCCTCCTCCCCTGCTTTTTTCTCACTATCTGATCAGATGGCAAGATCTCTGGTGCAGGGACTTACTGTCAATACATACAGCTTTTGTTTGAATATAGACTATCTCCTGGCATCTTTGTACTTGAGCAGCAGAAAAGTCCCTAGAACTGCTTGCCTTCCTGCATGAATTCCTAGCTCTCTGGAAACTTGTGCATTGCACACTCACACATTGGCTAAGTCCACATTTAATGAATGCAGTGTAAACCATCTTAGGATACTTAAGATATATTTTGAATAATTTTTCTCTTTTTGAAGGAGAAACCTGTAGTGATAGAAGTGATAGTAGTGAAGAAGGGACCAAAGCATGTATTGCCACTTCACAGTAGTATTTACTAGCTGGATGTGCTCAATGCCTTGTGAAGCCAGATGTTTAGATTTTTGGTGTTTGATTGAGAATTTGATCATGAAATGAAGATTGTCATTCACCACCACATTCAGTCTTCTTTGCTGTGTTAGTCTACTTGCAAATTTTAATTGCAGTGGGGTGTTGTATCAGGAAGGGTTTTTAAATACCACTCTGTCACACATAATTGTCAATAACGTGAATCATTTAATCATTGTAGTGGCTTACTGACTCCAAACAGCTGAGAAGAAAATGCGCAGGAAGCCGAGGTTGATGGAGATAACTAAGCCAAACTGTGGGTTCGAGTGGATTTACAGGGATTTTATTTTCCCTGGTGCAAGTCCAACAGTGTAACCTAGGAAAATCTTTGGCTTCTCAGCCTTCATGTCAGAGTCCATAAATCTCCAGCAGCTGCAACAACCAGCTCATGCACAGCAGAGCGCTGTTTCAGGGGTTGTGTTTCCCAGGCAGCCATCCATCACCACGTCCCTGGTACACCTCACCTGAGAAAGGTCTCCAGCACCTGACTGACCCAGGAGCTGGGATTTAGCCACAAAATGGGCTTCTCCTAGGGAGAGGTATTCTGCAATAGTCCCTTCAGGGCACAGCAAAGCAGCAGGACACCCATTTGCAGGGAAATCGGAGGGCTGCGTGTTAAGGGAAAGGTTAGAGTCAGGCCACCAAGACTAAGGCACCTTATGCCAACACTAATGCAGAGGCACGGGGTGGTAATGGGGGAGGAAGTAACAGTTCTTGCCAAAACACATCCAACCCATCACTGCAAGTGACATTTTTAGTTTTGCACAGTTAAAATTTGCCTCTCTGTGTGTATGTGTCTCTCTCTTGGGCATCTGTCTAAGAGTTACTGAGTCTGACCTCAATTTTTGGAATCCTCTGAATCTGGCTGTTGTGTTGCCTGTGATTGATCTGTCTCAGTATCGTGCTGGTAATGGCTGCATTATGGAGACACATCAATGCCCTCCTTTAAAATGGGCCGATGGGAACGTGGGAGAGTGCACAGCACTGTGGACAGGGCAGCCTCAGGGCCTGATCCGGCAGCCACCAAAGTCAAAGAGAGTAGATTGGTTTTTTTGGCATAGCACACAGAGTCTGTTAGGGATGTGATATAAGTAAGGGCAGTAAAGCAGTTATTCCTTTTTATATGCATTTGTGCATACACATTTCTGTATATACTTGGGCTGCCCTTGGCAGACCAGCTCAGCCCTTTGCCTCTGCCAGCCACAAGTCCCCTGCTGTTCCTGCCATGCTCCTAAAGACACCTTGCCTTCGATGCACTCTGCAGCATCCCACAGCCCAAGACTCACCGAGTTTACAATGTGCTCTTCCTGGTACGTGCCTGTCCATGTCCCTTCTCACTTGCATACACACAGCATCTTTGATGAGGATTCTGGAATTATTGAGAGTAGAGGATGAGATCTGTAGGTTTTGTCAAGCCAAACCTTTTCATGTCATGTGAGATGCATGCTGCAAAGGGGGCGTGATAGTGTAATCCTCAGAAACTCACTCTGAAGTGGGCTGACAGGGAAAGCTCTGGGTTGAACCCCATGGTAGAGCACAGGATGTACTAGACTTGTAATGAAACACGAGAGTGGCAGCCTTTTCTTTGCTTACGGTGAAGTCATGGTCAGCTAACTGGGAGGAAGCAGTGAGAAGCAATATAGATGCATTGCAGTGTGCATCTGCACTGCTCTGGGAACCAGCAATTCAACACAATCCATCTTATTTGAATTGCAGGGAACATCAAGCTGCAAAGGTTTGTGGTTTTACACTTAAAATGCATCTGTTTTTTCTTTTCAGTAATGTAGTGACTAACCTGTCAAATTTATGTAATTAGGGACAAAAGTAGTTAGATGCATTGTGAACCCTCTTCTACAATATGTCTTTATGTACAGTGACTCAACTGATTAAGTGCTTTCTTCATTATATGGCAAACTCAGGTTTGTAATCAGAGGGGGCTTGGATTGCCCGCACAGTTATTTGATGAATTATTTTTTTGACAGATGAAGGGCAAGCATTTCCAAAAATCCTTTACCAGAACCTCAGGACAGTGTCTGTGTCCTGGTGTCAGACAATGTTCAGGACAGTAACATGTCCTACCAGAGTGGCAAACTGAGCCCTTCATTAATTGGCAGGGTACCCAAACTATGTGGGATGCAAAGAGGCTGTAGAAAACTGTAGCTGGCTTCCTGACACAGCACAGCAGATGCAGGTTGAGCTCTCCTGACTCTTGAGTCATGGGAAAGGTGGGTGAGAGGGAGCCTGTAACAGATCCACCCGAGAGGCTTGGATTTTTGGTGGCTGGGGGAACCCAGAGACTGGTGTGTGTTAGACTGTGAGTGAAACAGAAATAGGGGGAGCCCTAAACCTATGAGAAGGAATGAAGAAGTGGCAGTACTGAGCTGAGGGAGGAGTAAGGGACTGAGGAATTTGGGGGAGCATACTCATCAGCAGGAGAGCTGAGAGAGGTGAAGGGCTGAGAGCTGCTGAGGTGAAACCTGTGAGGGAGCAAAGTGGGGGCAGGAACTGGCAGGGAAAAAAGGAAAAACTTGGAAGATGAGGTAAGGACAATAGAGGTTCACTTTTATTTGTTCATCCAGAGGCAACACAGCTTTTTGCATGATGGCAGATATTACCCCTGAGAGGAGGGGATTCAGACATCAGGAATGGCACAGTCTGCAGGGAACAACCAAAGAGAAAAGTGCGAAGGGACAAATCACATTTCAGCTTTGAATGTAATTTATTCTGATAAAGCTCTTTGTTTTAGGCTTTGTTTAGATGGACTAAATGGACATCTGCAACAAATTTATACCTGTGACCAACTACTTTTTAAATAAGCATATTTTAATAAGCTGTGGGGAATGCCAGCCTGAAGGACTTCCCTGGCATAGCCCATAATGCTTGAGCAGAGGTGGGGAGTCCCTTTAGGTTGACTATGCAAAAAAATCCATGTTGAAGGTAGGGGTTGGTCTTGTTTCAGCCACCTGGCTGTGAGTCAAGGAAACAGTCT